AGTATCAAAAGCTGCAATTAAACGTTTTGCCATATCTTCTGCAAGACGTAATAATGGGCCATTACAAGGCCATCCTGGTTCCAGATCAATGCCAGCTTTATGTGATAGAAGATGAGCACTGAGTAATCCTCCAACTACTCTTATATTAGTCTCAAATACAGATACATTAATATTAGCTTCAAAATTTGCTCTAGCACTTATAATTTCTGTCACGCGACGAAATTCAGAAAAATTGCCCATTACGGCAAGGGTATCCAAAGCATCAATAAGTGTTAACGAGAAACTACCCCATGTATCAAATCCATCGCAACTTAATGATCGCAGTTCATCGTAAGGATAGGCGTACGTTAAATAACTTGAATAAGCATGATCAAACATAGATCGTACTTCTTCTCTCAGAGCAATCAAATCTTTTTTTTCATACTCACGTAGTCCGTTTACCCAAGATAAAAAGCCAAAATATAACCATATCTTGCGTAGAAACATTTCGACGAAAATTTCGTAAATATTTGTAGTTCTTAATTAATTAAAATCTTGTTAATTATACTGTAAATGCATGTGTAAAGTAAAATTAATTTTTTTTAAACTCAGCATTTTTCAATAGTGATGTAAAAATTCTTAAAAACTGGTATCTGTGTCCATTTAGTACGTGACTTATTCTCATTCGTTATACTTTGATATCTTTTGCTATGCTTTTTTAAGTATGGAATCATATGTTTTACGGTATTTACGGTTATTAAACATGTTTATATACTAAATAGTAAAAATATATAAATAATGTATAAATCTAAAGAAGCTGACATATAACAAGGCTGACAGATTATACCATACATATATTTTCTATTTAATATAATTTACATTATCAGTTCTTTACGGATTTTATATCTGTATATGCATTTGTGGAGAATCGTATTTAAAAAGTATAGCAATAATTGATTACAAATAATAGAATTGTATAACGTTCAAAATTTTGTATACATTATACTACTAGAATTTATTTGA